AACACTATAATTAATACATTTTTAAATGAAGCAGATATTTTTATTAAGACAATTTTAGAATATTTACAATCAAAATTTGATTTTAATAACTCTATTTACATAAATATTATGACCTTGGAACAGAAACCATCAATTGATGGTTTTTATAATTTAATAAATATATTAAAATACCGAAAGACATTGATGTCTTGTTCGAGAAGATTGTAATTCTCTCTATTTTTTATGATTCGCCAAAATACTTAAAGTTAGATGGTCTAAAAGCAGAGGAGAAATGTGTAGAATTTTTTGGTAATAACGATAAATCCCCATACTTGGGAAAAATATGCGAGTATGTTTTCTCCCTCATTCTAATGCCTCATCCGAGCGCATTTTTAGCCTGATGAGGACTGCCTGGATAAAGGAGAGAAATAGGATTACTTTAACAACATTAGAGGCCGAGCTAATGGTTAAACAAATATATAATATATCATGCCAGGAATTTATAAATATCTCAATAACGACGGTAAACATTTAGTTCTATTATTTAAATCTCAAATAAAATATAATTAAGTTTTAGCAATGGCGCTATAAAATTTATTTTCAATTATTAACTGTAAAGATGAACACATCTTCAGCATAATTTTGTGTATCTTTATTAAAATTCTTCTGATTGCAACTACACAATAACAGCATGTAGTAGATTTTCTACATGTGAAATCATTCCTAAATATACCTCTGCCATTCATTATTGGAAAAAATTTTCAAAATGTTAGGACAGCTTTTATAATTTTTACTTAAGAAATATTTTTTTAAAGTTTATAAAATTTTTAAATTCTATCGATGGCAGGTATTAGGAACATATCGCAACCAATATTGTGCTGACTCAATTCTCTAAATACACTCTGTTTTTACCAAATTCACTGAGGCATTATCAGATCAGTAAGCTGACATGCAATTTATTGATAATCTCGAATCTGCTATATTTACCATTATATGGTTAGCTATGTCTTTAGATTTTTTACTATTTGAGGGGAAAAAATTTAATAGTTTTATTAAAACGACCTTGATTTTGTTGAAATAACGGAGGATCAAGGGAGATATTTTAATATTTCCCTTATTTATCTGTTAGAATTGCATATGTAGGCCCATCTTTTAAATCGTCAAGAATTGACCTCCTGGATTTAGGTCCTAAAATATTGATGATAGCCTTGCTCATTTTTGTTCTACAAGTATAGCTTTCATTTATATTAGAGTCGTTAAATATTATGGGGAAAAGATTCTACCAACATTATGATGATAAGTATCTCTGTGAATGTTATACTACAAGATAAGTGATTACAATTGCCGCAACTGTAGTTGCATCTGTATTATTTCTTACTTTTGGAGTACCTTATTATGTATTTAAACGTGATACGTTATAATTAAGCGCCTCTCCCTATAATGTTATACACACACACGGTAGATTTCCAATTGCGGTCGTTTTGTGGGACATTCGCATAAAATATATTTTTAATTGTAAAATTAAAATCGTTTTTTTTAAATAAAATTTTATCTTGTTTACATTCTTTTATATTTAAAAAAGATCGTTGGTTTTTTTTAAAATTAATATATTTTAATTAATCAAGATGTTATTTATTTTGAAAAATAGTTATCGATTTTGTATTTATAGAAACTAATTGTTAAATAATAGGCGGATAATTAAGTCAATTCAAAATCCCAGCCGAAGGCTAGCAAAAAATATTTTTTAGCAATTTTTATATTTCTATCGCAATTTTCATATTTCTCCCACATAATACCAATTATCTCCCGCAATTTGAAGATTTTGACCTGGCTACCCTGTACATGCATCAAATGTAAAATATTAATTCCAAAGGGAGACATGGTCTAAATTGTATATATGGTCAAGGCAGAAATGCAAGGCATGCAGCAATTAATTTAGCTATTAGCCGTTCTTTTACCAGAGCCCGAATACCAAACATCCTGGAACCTGTTAATTTATCACTAGATGATGGCCTAAGACCAGATGACTTAACTTCTGTACCATGGTCTTTAGGGAAATCCTTAATTTGGGACTTCACATGCATATCTTCTTTTCCAAAAATTTAAATTATAATCCGGATGATATAGCAGGAAAAAAAAACAATTAAATATTCCAAATTAACAAATTATATATTTATACCAATCGTTATCTCTTCCTTTGTACATATGTCAAGTGGAACTTTAAATTTTTAAGAAATATAGACGGCAAGATATCCCTTACATCAGAACCGCAAGAATATTATTTTTTAAAACAAAATATACAAATTACTATTTAAAATATAATTATTCATGTTTTTTGGGAATTCGTAGTCCCACGTCAGTTTTTATAGAATAAGGTTTTATTTTATTTTTTATATTTGATATTTTAATTTTATATTTTTATCCTGTATTATGTTTATTCAAATTTTAAGATATCAATTTTTAATAATATCAAAAAAATGTTCATACAAGTATAAAATTTTTTCAACTCAGGAGCCTAAGCAGCAGTGGCGTCGCTATGAGGAGCAGGGGCTCGAGCCCTCTGGAAAGTTTGAATAGCCCCCTGAAGCAAAAAATTTTTTTTAATGGCTCCTTAATATCCCCTTGAGCTAAAAATAAATGTTTTTAATTGCCCACTGAATAATTTCTTTTATAATTATATTGAGTAATATATAGATTTAATTTTATTAAAATTAATAAGACTATCTTAATTTTTATTAAATGAATACTATTTTAATTATTAGATTAGATTATTACATATAAATTATATTATGTCAGCCTGCAATCAAATTCTATGTTAAAAATATAACAATATCACTTACTAAATATTAATTTAGCATTAACAGTTGAAGCTTAATTGACTTTTATTATTTAAATTATATAACCCTTATAAAATAAATATATAATCATTTATTAATTGAAAATTAATAATTTAATATTTTAGCCGAGTTCAAAATCATTAATCAACTATATTATTGATTTATGTCTATTCATTATTGTCAAGGTCCAAATCCAAATAAGTATAAGAGATTTATTTATAAAAAGTAAGTAGACATATAGTTTATAATCCTCTATTATATATAATTTTTTATAAAATATTAGGTAAAATGCCACTTTTACAGACGTATCTGACAGTTATATAATATATTACAGTTAATAATTTTAAAATCTTACTAATAAATACTTTTGATAATAAATATAAGCATGCGCGTACGCAGGAATTTGGTGTGGGGGGGGGATTAAAAATTTTTTAAATAAAATCATTGTTATTTAAAAATATAAAGCATAAATTTTTTTAGGACTAATAACTATTTCTAATACAGAATTTTAAATTAATGTGAATTATAAAAAATAAATATATAAACCGGCATATAGAAAACTATAAAATAAATGTGAATTAAAAAAAATATTAAACGGATATAACCGGCGGCATATGAAAAACTATAATATAAATGTGAATTATAGAATGTTAAGTAAATATAACCAGCATATAAATCAGAAATCACTATAAAATAAATGACCCAAAATAGAAATTTAAATTTGAGCCTTTAAAATTTATATATAAAGTATAAATTTAAATGTTGGAAATATAAATTATTACACAAATTTCTTAGGAATAATTGTATTTTAACTTAAAAAGTATTCATGAAAAAATATAATTAAAATATTAATTCGCACATAAAGTAATTAAGAAGCATATTATAAATTTATATGTAAAATCTAGTGTTGTTAAACGACTCATCCGAGTCGGCTTAACTACGACTCAAGTCAAGTTTTTAGTCAAAAAATCGACTCAAAACTCAAGTCGAGTTTTTAGTCGATTAGTCGACTCATTTTTACGACTCGAGTTCCGAACTTGAGTCGTGAACTTGAGTTTTTATCTTGGGTCATGTACTTGAGTTTTAATCTTGAGTCATGAACTTGAGTTTTGATCTTGAGTCATGAACTCGAGTTATGAACTTGAGTCGTGAACTAGTCATAAACTTGAGTCGTAAGATTTTTAAATTCTTTTTAACGGAAATTTTGATAACACGAATGGAAAAAATCAATTCCTAAAATTAATCCTGTTTGGAAATAAAGAGGTTTCTAATAACATTTCCCAAAACCGTTTGAAAAAAACGTTATATATGGAAATATCTCATATAATTTTGCCTAAGCTCTTCCTGATTTAAATTTAGGTAATTATGAGACAAATTCTGAGGATTAAAATGTTTAATTGATATATTTTTTTTAAAAACCAAGAATTTATGAACCCCAAAATATTTTTCTTCTCAAAAAATTGTGTCCTGACCTTCGGTATATCGCGTATGCCTTATTCACTAAAATTTATATACATTTATATACATTTTAAGAATTTTAGTAATTTATTAATTTCTTCAAAACAATAACTAGTTCGAACCAGGGCCTGTCTATTAAAATAATAAATTATAACTAATATTTTTTTATTTATTTAAATCTTTATAAATCATACATATGAGTTAAATTTTATAATTACAATAAAAAAATCGAATAAATAAAAATATTTAGATATAAAAAAATATTTTAATATAAAAAAATATCGTCAGTTCAATCTTCATTTGCCAAATCTTTTTCTTCAGGAAAGCTTCAAAATAAATATAAAGATATATTGAAAGAATTAAAAAATCATTAAATTTTACCAATTTTTTAAGAGAGGGCAAGTAAAAGTCTTGTTTAAAATTTACAAAAACATTATTCGGACTAATTATATATGTTAATATGGTCTAAACACAATCACAACAAAGTATGTAATAATATTTACATTATTCCAATAGATCTACGTCCCAACAACTCAGGCACAGGCATTCTTTGAGGGTTTCTGAAGCCATTCTATTCCTTTTTTTAGTCATACAATCAACAGCTTTACTGAAGGTCCTCTCACTTGCTACACTTGTAGATTGTTGAGCTAAATAGTCCCTAGCCATTAACGCCAAAGTGGGATATATCTTGGCGTTCTTTGCCCACCAATCTAAGATATTTGTCGATGCTGGCGCAACAGGTTCCTTAAGATATTCCACGATCTCATCTCTCATGGGGTCTGGATTATCGATAGCATCTCTGAAAATAAATATAAAAATACAAGGTTAATTAAATTTCTAAGTATATATATTTACTTTCGCAGCTTATTATGCATAATAACTGAGTAGGGTTGTGAATCAATGTGATCTGTAAATTAGAAATTTAAATAGAAAAAAGATCGTGATCGCGATCTTTTTTTTAAAAAAAGGTCGATCCTAGATTTCGATCCTCTTTTTTTGAAAAGATCGTGATCGGGATTCGATCGTTTTAAAAAGATCGGTTAACACAAGCCTGTTCAAATTTATTACAGTTAATTATAAGTTTTATGAAATTGAAAATAGAACCTACATATCATCACCTATTGCTTATTTTCCTATTATTTTATCAAAAATATATTTTAGAAATATATTATACTTGTAGCCGTATGGAGACTGTAAATTTTATTACAAATATTTGCGCTTAGAATTATTAGTGTCTATAAAGTAATCTTTTATAGAGGTAAAAGAATTGTCTTGCTCTTGTTTCATATCTGCCTCGTCCATAAAATTTTTTTACAAAAATAAAATAACCAAATATCTGGTTAGTCCTTTTGGGACTTGGGAGGCTCATTTCATTATTCTTTTTTCTTATTTTTTGATGTTATTTTTTTTAATGTTTTATTTTTCGATTTGATGAAATAAAACTACTTTTCATCTAAATATTTAGCCCCCCCCCCCTAAATTTAACTTCCATTTCCATCCATCTCCTTTAGAAATTTGTAGGCAATATTATACATTTTTTTATAAAAAATTATTTAATATTTCAAAAAATCTTAAATAAAAAAAAATAAAATAATTTTATAATAAAATAAAAAACCAAATCGCCTATCTGGCACCTAATTTAGGAGTGGTTGGGGATTTTTTAAATTTTTTTGCATCTAATTCATTGTTTTATTTATTTTTATTTTTTCAACTCCGCTTTGAAATTATTTTTATTATTTAAATCTTTATAAATCATATGAGTTAAATTTTATAATTACAATGATCAAATAAATAATTTTTTTTTATTTAAGATTTTTTGAAATATTAAATAATTTTTTATAAAAAAATGAATAATATTATTGCCTACAAATTTTTAAAGGAGATGGATGGAAATGGAAGTTAAATTTAGGGGGGGGGAGGGCTAAATATTTAGATGAAAAGTAGTTTTATTTCATCAAATCGAAAAATAAATAACATTAAAAAAATAACATAAGAAAAAAGAATAATGAAATGAGCCTACCAAAAGGACTAACCAGATATTTAGTATAAAATTATTTTATTTTTATAAAAAAATTTTTTATGGACGAGGTAGATATGGAACAAGAGCAAGACAATTCTTTTACCTCTATTAAAGATTACTTTAACTTTATAAACACTAATAATTCTAAGCACAAATGTTTGTATTGTGATAAAATTTATTAAAATTTCCGTTTGCGTAGAAATAGCTTCACTCAAAAAGTGGCGCTTGAATTGTTGCATATTAAATAGGTCTTTTAATTATCTATCGATTTATCTGTAATAAATAACCATATATTTAACTAATGAGTTCAATAAGAAATAACTTAAGATACATGGGCCTCGTGCTCATAGCAGATTTAGTCTAATTTTAGAGCCAAGCGCCAGGTCTGGGTATTACACAACCAACCAATTAACAATACTAATATAAGTAATCGAGTTTCATAAAATTTAAGATAACCTGTTGAGTTCACGACTCAAGTTTATGAATAGTTCAACTCAAGTTCATAACTCGAGTTCATGACTCAAGATCAAAACTCAAGTTCATGACTCAAGATCAAAACTCAAGTTCATGACTCAAGATAAAAACTCAAGTTCACGACTCAAGTTCGGAACTCGAGTCGTAAAAATGAGTCGACTAATCGATTCAAAACTCGACTTGAGTTTTGAGTCTAGTTATTGCGACTTCGACTCGGAGTCGTAGTCGGGTGAACTCGACTTTTTAACAACACTAGTAAAATCCAATCTTCATTGAGATTGGGTTTATTGTTCAATTATCTCATCTGTGCTTGGCGTCAAATACCTACGAATAATCAAAAGGGCCAAATAATTCAATATATTGTCAGAAGTTGTACTCCTTAATTATGCTTTTATTCTTCTTAAAGAAGAGAATGTTCTCTCATTAGTTGCAGTACTAATGTGATGTGTTGCTAATATATATAATTTATTACACATTGGGAAAATAATCTTAAAGATGTTTGAAATGATGCAAAGCATCCATAGCATTTTTGGGGATTATATCAACCATAGTTAATCTTTTATATACTATAGTTGGCATTCAGCCAATAAGGCATCATAAGATATTTTAACATCTCCATGAAAAAAAATCTGATAAATATTTTATTTTTTTTCTATTACTATCTGAAAAAGGTTGGTAAGGCTTTTGTGAAAGTAATATCTGCAGACTGCTAAGTGCTGCCTGATGAATTAAAACCCGTTCTATTTGAGTTATAAATGTATCTAAGAGAGGGATAAATACATTTATTTTATAATACTCTTCTACTGACCCTATATTAATGTTAGGACGATAAGCTTGCTTCGCTGCAAGCCGAGGGAGCAAATGTTAATCTCATATAGCTCTGCTTTTGACTCAAAAATAACATATAAAATTCTTCAATAACATTAGCCCTAATTTCCCTGAGTTCTAATAATATGCTCTCCGCTATTCTCATCGTTTCAATCAAGTCAATGTTATGTTTTTAAAAATACATAATATATATTCTAATGAGAAAAAAAAGTAAGTATTGAAACCAATGATATGCTTGCTTCTGAGGATATATCTCCTTCAGGTGTGATTTTTCAGCAAGAGCATAATAATCAACTCTTCTAACTCTATAAAAGCTGTTTTGGTAGCAAAGACTCCATCTCGTTGGACAAGCTCTTTGCAATGTTTTCTCCTTGTTAGACAAGGAGTTTCAGAAATAATTCTGTTTACATAATCTCCTAAGGCTTGATATTTTACAAGGCCACGAAAATTACCTTCATTATAATTATTATTGAAATTCAAGCTTCCTGAATCCAAATTACCATGTAATTCTGGGCCCTGCAATTCACAATATAGTATAGCCTCAATAGATAGCTTGCTCTCTATTTTCTTTTGCTATTTTAATCCTATTTTTGTCAATGTGTGATAAAATGGGAATCATATCCCCACAATTAATTTGAAGAAATAATGGGTTCACCGCGTTTGTGATAAATTTGTTTTATTGTCAAAGATTTATCCAGCATCTTTGTACTTGTTGACTTAACTAACAGGACTCATAACTTGCAATAAGCTCCATTGTCTAGGTAGAGAGTTCTAGCCACAACCATCTAGTAAAATAGCTGTTTTGAAATTTTAACTTTCAATTAGCACATAAAGTTTGTGTGAAATTTGAGGGATAGAATATAAATCTATTATTAAATAAAATATTAATCTTAGGTATCTGTATTACCTTTTTAAAAAGCTTATGTTTTACTTCTAGGCTAAATATGAAATTTTATAAAATTATTAGTACTTTTTTGCTTTTTTGTAAGATGACTAGGATTTTCATCATCATCAGTATGTTTAAAAAATTTTTTATGTCCATAATTATTATTTGACTAGAAAATAGACAAATATTACACCAAGAAAAACTTGAAATCGAAATTAATTGATAAAATAACTTAGAATGAATGTGATAAATAAATGTAATTAAATATATTTAAAACGAAAGAGAATGGATTAAATATTATAAAATACAACTTAATATAAACAAAAATATTTTTGAAAAATTTATCCGGCATCTGCTTTTTTGGCTTTGGGGGGGGGGGGGATTTGTCCCCCTGTCCCTCCCCCGCTGCGTACATCAATGAATATAAGTAACAGTTTGCTTACAAATATTTAACGCCAATTAATTTACAATATAATTAAAATTAAGCGTATTATTATTCATCCCACAATGGATGTAATTAATTAGATATCTTTTCTTCTCTTTTTTACGTGTTTTTAGGAAGCTATTTTCTTCTTCTTTGGAATAATATTTTACTTTTATTAAGATAAATAAATTAAAATTACTTACTTTATAAAAAATTATATTTGATATATTATATTATTTAGTAATTTTATGGATCTATTATTATTAATTATAAAACATTTCACTTTTGTCTTAAGACTTATCTTTGGCTTATACTCCATTTATTTAAAAACATTTTTGGTTCATTTTACATATTTATAAATTTATTTTCCCAAAAATCTATAAATTATGATGAATAGTTTTATAAAAAAATATCAACTTTTACATTCTTTCTTTCAAATTATTGTTTAAGATGTATGCATACATTTGTGAGGATCAGAGAGTAGGGGGAGGACTAATGGGCATATTTTTTTATTAGCTAAAAATGATATTTACAAAAAGTGATAAATTTCTGAAGGGGGGATATCCCCTTGCCCCCCTTCCTGGTTACGCCTATGATGTTGAGTTAAAAGCAGAGCTCCATGAATTTAATATTTTTACTTCGACTCACAGCAAGGGCTAGGGGGGGGGATAATTAAATTTTTTAAGATAAAATTATTGTTATTTAAAAATATCAAGAATAAATTTATTAGGGCTAATAAATATTTTTTGGTGAATTATAATAAAATAAATATATAAACCGAACTATAATATAAATGTGAATTAAAAAATATTAAACCGGTATAACCGGTGGCATATAACTCTAAAATAAATGTGAATTATTAAATATTAAGTGGATATAACCAGCATATGAATCACTATAAAATAAATGACCCAAATAGAAATTTAAATTTTTTGAGCCTTTAAAATTTATATAATAAATATAAAAAAATTCAAATCTTGGAAATATAAATTAATACAAAAGTTTCTTAGGGATAGTTGTATTTGTATATAACAGCTTATAAAGTATTCATGAAAAAATATATAACACATTAAAAACTAAAATTGCATAAAAAATATTATTAAGAGACATATTATATATTTATAATGTAAAATCCAATCTTCATTGGGATTGAGCTAATTTTTTATATCTCATGCGTCCTTGGCGTCAAATGTCTATGAATATTCAAAAGGGAGAGGGACAAACCATTCAATCTACTTTCAGAAGTTATACTTATTAGGTATGTCTTTATTCTTCTTAAAGAAAAGATTGTTCTCTCATTGCAGTACTAATGGGAAGAGTTGCTAATTTATTATTGGAAAAATAATCTAAAAGATGTTTGAAATGATGCAAGGTATTCATAACATTTTTTGGGACTATATCAACCATAGTTAATCTTTTATACCATAGTTGGCTTTCAGCTAATAAGGCATAATAAGATACTTTAACCTTCATGATAAAAATCTACCAAATATTTTATTTTTTTTCGTCACCATCTGAAAAAGGTTATGAAGGCTTTTGTGGAAGTAATATCTGCAGATTGGTAAGTGCCTAAACCGTTCATTTATTTCGGTTAAAATGTATCTAAGAGAGGGATAAATACATTTATTTTATATTACTCTTCTAATGACCCTATATTAATGTCTGGACAATGAGCTCGCCTTGCTGCAAGTCGAGGGAGACAAATATTAAAGTCGTATAGCTCTGCTTTTGACTCAACAATAACATATAAAATTCTTCATTAACATTAGCCCTAATTTCCTTGAGTTCTAATAAATGCTCTCTGCTATTCTCATTGTCTCAATCAAGTCAATTTCATGTTTTTGAAAAGTATTACATAAAATAGTTGTGTAATTAAATAATTTATTAATACAGAGAGAAAAAAAAACAATTTGATCTAAAAGTAATAAATCCAATAATTTGCTTGCTTTTGGGGAAATATATCTTTCACCATTGTGATATTTCAGTAAGAACATTAATAATAGGCTTTTGATGACGAAGATTCCATCTCGTTGGACAAGCCTTTTGCAATTTCTTTCGCCTAGTTGGACAAGAAGTTTCGTAAATTCTGTTTAAAATATTTTGTCACTTGGGGTATTCTATTAGTTAATGCAGAATCTCCGAATGCTTTTAATTTTACAAGACCATAAAAATTACCTTCATTATCATTATTATTGAAATTCAAGCTTCCGGAATCCAAATGGCTACGTAATGCTAGGCCCTGCAATCCACAATATAGAATGGCCTCAATAGTTAGTTTGATCTTCATCTATTTTCTTTTGCTATTTTTGTCAATATGTGATGAAATAGGAAACATATCCCCATTTCAAATTAATTTGAATAAATCATCAGTTCACAGCGTTTGTGATAATTTATTTTTAATAATTGTCAAACCAGCATCTTTGTACTTGTTGAATGGAGTTTTAACTAGACAGTTGAGCTTAACTAAACCAGCAAATATTGGGCCAAACAGGACAAACATCTTGCAATAAGCTTCATTGCCTCGAAGAGAGTATGATAGCCATAACCAGTGGCGTAGCTAGGAATTTTCCTTAGAGGGGGTCCATACATATAAAAGCTGGGGGCTTCGCCCCCCAGACCCCTTTAACGGGCCTTCGGCCCTTTTGCTCGGCCTTCGGCCGGGTTTATCTTACAAATCATAACCATATCTTTGATAATATATAATAAATCTATTTTTTAAATGCATCAATAATATGTTATTATAATTTAGTAGATTATTCTCAATGACTTTATAATAATACTATCCAGAATAATTTCAATAGTAATATAATTGATATAAAATCACTTTATCATCAATATGTTTAAAAAAATTTGTTTTGTTTCCATAATTATTATTTGACTAGAAATTTAAAAATGAAGATAAATATTTCGCCACTATAAATTTGAAAATTATAGATAAATCTTATCCAAAAAATGAAATTGAAATTAATTGATAAAATAATTTAATACATAAATGTGATAAATAAATGTATCAAATATATATTTAAAAAGAAAGAGATAGGAATAAATATTATAAAATATAAATTAATATAAACAATAATATTTTTGGAAAATATATCCGGCATCTGCATTTATTGGCTTGGGTGAGATTTGACCCCCTGCCCCCCCTACCGCTGTGTACGCGCCTGATAAATGATTTTATTTTTTAATTAGGTTTATAAATGATTTAAGTAATAAAAATCAATTAAGCTTTGTTAATGCTAAATTATTTAGACATAATGATTGATTTTCCATTTTTAATAAAGAATTTGATTGAGCTAGCCGACATAGTGAAAATATAATTTATATGCATTAATCTAATCTAATTATTAAAATAGCACTCATTTAATAAAAGTTTAGATAGTCTTATTAATTTTTAAATAATAAAATCAAATTTATGTATAATACTTAATAAAATTTATAGAAATCGTTCAGGGGGGCTATCAAAAAAATTATTTTTAGTTGTGAGATTTTAGGGAGCCATTAAAAAAAAATTTTTTGCTTCAGGGGGCTATTCATATTGGGGCTCGAGCCCCTGTCCCCCCTCTTCCCAGTGACTCTACTGCTTACAACAAGGCGCTTCTACCCAGGGGCGTCGCTAGCCTTTACAATCTCAGGTCGGCCTGGTTTTATATTAATATATTATACTTTTTTAAAATTTGTTAACTCTGAACAATTATTCATAATTATTTTGTCATTTATTATATTATACATTCAAAATAAACTGGCATATAAATAATTAAAACAATACAAAAATTTCTAACAATAATATTTTTTAATATAAAATCTATTTATTACAGTATAAAATATTTTCGATTGCTGATATAAATAAATTTTGCCTCAAAGAATTACAAGAGATAAAAAAGGTTAATTATTTCATACATATGCCTCAATTGATAATCTGCACCCCCCCCCCCCCTTAGCGACGCCACTGCTTCTATCACATAGGAGTAAGGCGAAAGATAATTATTAAAATTAAACGGGGGTAGGGAGTTGTGTAAAAGTAATTGCCTTTATTTAAATGGGAGAAATCAAGGTTGCAAAAGTAGTGAATATTTTTATTTTAATTTAGATATTTTTTTTTCTTCTAATTTTGAAGAATTTTAGGGGTTAGGATAGAGGATAATATCGTTATTTGGTGTAGGTGCTTGATCTTAGATAGAGATCTACAGGAGAATAATTTTTAATACATCTCCATATTCATATATACATGCATAATTCTCATATATGTTTAGTTTTTTAAGTATAAGATGATATATTACTATGATATAAACAAAATATTTTGATTAACCATGATTTAATCATATCCACGAGATTAAATTTAAAATTGTAAAAATAATTATCTCAAATTTCACTTAGAAAAAATATTTTCGTGACCCACCCACCAACCGAAAATAAAAATAAGTTCAGTTTCTCTCCCCCCCCCTTCCCCATGGATCTAGTCTATGGGTCGTGTTTTGCTTTGCAGAACTGTAGTTCCAAGTTCCAAAAAATAAAATTACACCAAAATTACGCCATCTATATTTTATGACTCGTTAATCTAAAATCAAGAAAGTCAAAAAATGGGAAATAAGAGCTGTTGTTTGGGAAAAGCTGAAGATGAAGAATATCCAGAGAAGCCGAACAATTTTTGTAATAATGTCAAGAAGCATAGTAAAACATTTTCGACTATAAACGGAAAAAATATAAAAGGGGAAAGTTATTCAAATTTACAACATATTAGTGAAAGGGAACCTGAAGGTTAGATACTATATATAATATTTAATATTATATTTAAAATTTAGATAACCTTAAAGACCCTTCAAGTAATCCGTCTGCTGGTCCTTTATTTGTGTCTAAATCAAAACTTGATCTACTTAGTAAAAATTTATTTATAAATATAATTGAGAAACAGCTGATCAAAACATATTGCAGCTTTTGATATGATACTTATAGAAAGATAAATTAGAGTTATGTAATTTACATTATCTTTAAATTTCTTAGAGCCTAACTAGCTTACCAAAATTTTTTTTTAATGACAAATTCTACTACTTAGTGATCATCTAAATTTTTAAATGAAGCTATGTCAAATTTAATAAAATATGATTATTAATATAATCATTTTATATTAGGTTTAAATGAAAAGAAAAGAGACTATAAAAATGTGAGTATACATCTATTTTTATTTATTGTCTTTTATTTTAATTTTAATAATTAATATATATAATTGTAAGATTTTTAAATAATTTTAACTTGTTTAATATATAATATAGTAAAATGTTATATAAAAGTCAAATTAAAATTTTAACCTTTCTATAAATAAATAATCAATTTTCCTAACTATACTTAAATATGAGAAATTATATATTGTATAAATCATTAGTAATAAATATTCCATATGGTTAAACATTTTTATTAAAAATTATTAAATTTAAATAAAATAAATTTAAAATTTATATTTTTTAAGGTCATTAGCATTTCAAATTTAATTACAAAAGATTTATGCAAAAATGAAGATTAGGATGTTTTTTAAAAATTTTTATTTTATATGAAAATTTATAATTATATCCATCTTTGCTGTGAATCTATATATATGAATATGCATTTAAATTTAATAATTTATCATTAATTTATATTTGAATTTGTGTAATAAAAATTGTCAATATTTAATAATCATTAGTCTTAATAAATTTCCGAAACTTAAGATATTCTTTAACTCCTAGAGTAATTCAAAATTTTTCAATACCCATAGAAAATTACTACTTATGCACCTAGGTAGGAATTAAAAAATAGGTATGCTTAAGGCTGATGTGTGGGGGAGGGTAAAAAGATATAAATTTCACAAACAAAACAATAGTTCCTTTTTGAATATTTTAAAACCACAAAATCACATTCAAAAAATAAAAAATATTTTAAATTACAACACCCCCAAAATTTTATTTCTAAGTTCTATACCAAAGTGTGAGTATTGATTAAATTTGATATTATTTTTAAAAAAGTTTGATTAATGTAAAAGTCATTTTTCTAATATAGTTTCTTTACTCAATAAGAATTTAGTACTCCATATTTCTTAGATACTATAGTTGGTAAAACTCAAGCACTATCTCTTTTTTTATTATAGTTGGGTATATATTTTTAGCCAACCAAAAAATCGACTAACCCATGTTTTTATTTCTTAAAAAGATAACAGCTCAAATTTGATAAATTAATATAAATTAAAACGCCTTAATGTTAGATTTTCTCTGGAATGTGCTAGAAGATTGAGCCAGCATTTCGCCATTACCCATCTATATTTTTTAGCCATCATTATTCCTTGATTTTTTTTATACAAAATTTAAAGACAAATTACTTTTGAAATACATTGGGCTAAAAGGGAGTTACTATATTTTACATAAACATGTAAATATATAAGGGTTTTTATGCAGTTAGAATAATATAATCACACTCATCGGTAATTGTACAAAAATATTTGGAATATAATTATAATCTACCCCAAATAAAAAATTTCTACAAAAATGGAAAAATAAGGACAAAAATCCCCTAATATTTTTATCGCCATTTTTTAAATATAAATTGATGTTATAACAAAATCAACATTTTTTTCAAATGGCAGGTGTCACAGATCTGAACTGAAGAAGGTTAAATGGTTGCCAGACATGGGGTATGATCAATATATATCAGTGACTTTAAAGGGTCAAAATTTTAGTCCAAGCTTTTATTCCCAAACCCGCCCAGGATTGTTTGACCCTAAATTTTAATTTTTAATAATTTTTTGACCCAGCCTGGAATTTTTAAAAACTGTATTTTGAATAATAAATCGTTTCTAAGGGAAATCAAAATTGAGCAGTAAATGAATATTAAACGCTATATTATTTTCTAACTGATTAATTGATATTTAAAAATTATCCTGGCCCAGTTCAGATTTTATACTTACATCGGTTTTTCCAATCTCAAAGTTTTTTGTCCTTTTTTCCCATTTCTGGGAAATATTTGTCCAGGAATCGATCATGCCATGTGTAAAATATTCTTTATGAAGCAATATCCATTAACATCATTCAAGATTTAAATTTAAACATTATTGTAATCACGATTAATTAATCGAAAAATATTCTCATATAGGGCAACTTTATTGAAGTTCACTTCAATATTTACCCCCTATTCCACTTGTTATCCTTTTTTAGTGATTTTATTTTAATTAACATGTAATTTTTTTCCTTCCTTTTGACCTATCTCGAAGTCGACTAGGCATCGTAGTTCTTCGTCCTTGCTTCCCACCCCTTTTAACGCAGATACTCACCTTTCTTCCTCCTTCACGACTGCGAGTCATGTTCGCCGGGCTACCAGTTTTAAACCTCACACAATCATGCCAAATCCACACGGAGGCACTATTCATTCTTCACGGTATTATCGCGAACTTCGTCGTCCTAGTTCTTGCTCCACCATTTACCTAGGTATACTTTAATAATATTAAATAGTAGTGTTGTTTAAAGCTCGATTTTTAAAAACGGCTAATCCAATATTTTAGTTTAAAAAATATTACGCAAGTCTGAAGATTTGTACAAAGATAGCAGAAAAATTTGGACATCTATTAATGAAATCCCGAGGCTTGCACAATATTTGTTAAAATATTAGCCATTTTTAAAAATCGAGTCATTTAACAATACTATTAAATAGGAAAATTAAACAAATTATAATAGTAACACAATGTAAAAATATCACAACAAAGATAGAATTATTTAGATCGGTAAAAAAATAAACCTTTTTTTATAGTTGGCTAGCACACCTGGTTCCCATACAGAGCCTCAAATGTACAAAAAAAGATTTTTGCACTTATAAAATTTTTAAATTGCATATGTCTCAAAAAATTTTTAAGACATGAAATCAATTAAAATAAAGGAAATTATAGCCTTTGTGATTCAAGATGAAGTACAAGGTTCACTGAATAAACCGCAAGTTACATCTATCCTTTTGTGATTTATTACAAGACACTTATCTCTCATTCATAATACCTTCATTAATTCTAAAATTTAGTCCACTACTTAACGGAGAAAATTCAAAACTGTCAAAAAGAAGTATTCTAATTTTCAGATGGAGCAGTATCACAATATAAGAATCGCAAAGATTTAATCAATCTTTATTACAACCTTGAAGATGATAAAACCTGAGTGGCCTTTCGGGCCAAATCTCATGGTAAATCAGCATGTGACGGAGTTTGAGGTAAACTCAAAGGTTTAGTTGCTAGGGCCATTTTATAAAGACCTGTATAACAAATAACTTGCCCTAAAAGTTTTTGTTTATTCTAAGAAAAATATTAATGGTATAAGATTTTTAATTTATTAATATATTTATAAAAATTTTTCTTTAAGGGATAGATTTCTCCTATATTATGGAAGATTAATATAAGAAAGAGAAAATAATTTTAGTATAGAGATTCAATAAAGCTCATACACTAATCGGAACACAAAAATTATATATTTTTTTATCCAATTTTTCATGATATAGAAGTATTGAAGTTAAATTTTAGTCAAATTCAACAGAATCACAAATATTATACATAAAATTTCACTCAATTATTGTAAATTTATTATATGGAAAAATAAATGGATTTATAACATATCCATGACAATCATTGGTATGATAAATGGTCTGTTTTAGAAAAAAAGATTAGAAGTGTGTTTCTTCATTCCAAGGATCATAAAAATATTAATGCGTTTATTTTTTTAATTGAATGGTTTGGTATCGTTTTGGTTTGTTGGTACAAATATGAAATTTTTTTTATCATCACTTCATATCTTTTCAGGATCTTGAATCCTCTTTTAAAATAAGGATTTGGATTCAATAAAATCTTGAGGGTTTTTTTTAACAGTAATCATTCATGGTTTTCTTTCCATGATTAATTTAAAACAATTAAGGTTTTTTTAAAATCACTATTTTTATTCTCTTAATTTATTAATAATTTTAATTTAAACCAATACAATATTTGGGTAATCTTGAGTTTTTAATATTGGTTCTCATAACCCCACTATTATGCATAAATAACAAATTTGATATATATTTTTATTTGATCGAAAATAACAAGAGAAATAAACTGCCATTTGTCGTTAATTTTTTTTATAGATGATTGCACCGCCAGTCGCCCTCACCTAAAAATGACGGTGAAATCTCTCGCGCTTGCAACTTACTATCATACGCGTCGCCTAGAATCTCCACGAGCTCACAGTTCTGGAGATCCTTTATGCAATACCCGCGGCTCCAAACGTAGTAGCAGAAGACGCGAACCCGACTCACTTATTTTTGATGAAACGTTGCATCCACTAAATGTTTACTTATTATTCTTAAATTTTTTGCCCGTTTAATATTGTTGGTTTGATTTTTAATAGCTTGAATATAGTTTGGAACTGGGATCAATGTAAGAACCCAAACAACGTTTTTGAACCTATTAATTATGCATAATATTTTAAAAAAATGAAGATTAAAATTATTTAACCCCATTTAATAAATTATAAATTAAAATAGATTATATTATCTTCATTTATACCAAGTAATATTTATTTTTTAAAACTTCACCTATTTTTAGAAAGAAACTCATCACGAACGAGAAATGAAAGAACCAGATTTCAAGACGATCTATAAATTTTTACGTAACCTATTCAGCAACGCTCAACTCACGGCCGAATGCGGGGTCATTGCTTTGGTAAATATACAAATACTATTTGATATTTGTTAAAGTTTATCCATTATTATATATTATAAATAATGGCACATTTTAATATTTATTATTTTTGGCTTATCTTGAAGCACTAGCCAAAATAAATTAGTTCATTCTCTAGGCACGCAAGAACTGATTTTTGTAATTCTCATGATTGTATCAGTGTTCTATTTAACCTCTAGACGGAGCCGATAATTTTTAAAGACCGGTTTGGAATCTGCTCAAATAGAACGATTTTGACTTCTTTCGTTGATTTTGTGTCCTAGAAATTTTATATATCTGCAAATGTTTTAAATTTATGATGCCTTGGGAAACGTCATGAGCTTAAAATTTTTCCCTAAATCAAGATAAATTGGGGAAATCTTAGCATTATTATTGGTTATATTATAACTATATATTAATATAATCATAAATTTTTTTGTATTACGTTTAATGAGTATTTTTGCATATTTAAACCAGAGCTCGGTACCGGTTTAAATTTAAGAATTGGAATGCAGAATTTCAAAGCTTGTAACAAACCGGATTTCTGAAGATATTTGTATTAAACGGAACCGGTTCTAAACTTTGCTATATAATTATCTAATATTTTTCTAACAAACGCTTTATAATTAAAGGTGTTTTTTTAAAATTTATTCCAAGTCACCAATAATTATATTTTAAAAATTGTGCATAAAAATTAAATGAATTATAATCAAAATATTTAAAACAAATTTTTTCCTAGAAACATATGCGCTTTATAAAAATCAAGTTGTAAAAAATTTGTAATCTTATTTTTTTTAATGCTTGTTTTTTTTAAAAATTTTCTTTCCGCTTGCACTTTTTCCTTCCAGTACTGGAGTACTAAACTCAAACAAGATTGCTCATAATTTTATTCTGTAACCCCAATTACAACTTTATAATATTTTGTTTTTATTTATTACCAATATTTATTTTTTTTCTGTAACAAATTCCATCAAAATATTATTTTATTTATATTCCCTAACTATTGCAAATGATTCTGGGTTTATAAAAATCATCGATCCTTTCATTGTTGTTTTATGTAAGGATTTTAAAATAAATACATATATTTTAAAAGAAGCCATCATCAAGCTGAAGCATTAGAAAATCGAGCGATTTAATAATCATGAAAATGCTATCTATAAAATCTGATACATCAACACGATTGAAACCTTCTTGGAATAATATGCATTGTGGGGAAATAATTTTCAGGTAAAAATATCCATGTGAGAAATTCACTAACTTTATTCAGCCTCTAATTAAATTTTTTTAAATTAATGATAAAAACATATAGTATCAATAATATGAAATTAAATTTGTACTTCCAGCACGAACATAGGAGCGATTATAATCAATAGATAAGGAAATAAGTCAATTTGATGTGAAAATTACGACATTGCCCAAGAAAATGATTTATTGATGGAATCGGATCTAAATGATTCAAACATAAATCATATAGATTTGCATTTATTATTTAATGCCAATATTACTAGTTTAGGATGCGGCTCTTATATTATATTCTTCAATTGGCCATAAAGGGTTTTTAAGAATATATTTCGAATTTTATATCAAGGGTTGGACAATTAAAATTAAGCATTTCTGTAATCTCACTACACAACATTTTTTTAAAAATCACCAATCGATTTTCTCACAAGAAGGGACTATTTATTTAATTCTGGAGGGATTAATAATTATTTTGCGATCAAATGACACATGGATTATTCGTTATTGAATAATGATTAGGAAGTTAATTTATTTTTAGACGCTTTTAAACTCTCGTAAAAAGCTTCTCAAAGCTTAATCAATCATCGAATATTTAAAGATGCTCTTACAGATCAAAAATCACAAATTTTCCAGAGAAAATTACTCTTGTAAAGTATTTTCCAAGTTTGAAATGAACACATCGTTTTACAAGCTTAATTTTTGAAACGTTCATTTATTTAATATTGTATGTTTGTATCTTAATTTAATTAAGGTATATCTCGAGCGGCTTTTAACCTACTCCGAACTTGAGTTAACGCCCAGTATTTGGAAAAGAATCTTGCTGGGAGCCATTATATTGGCTTCTAAAGTGTGGGATGATCAAGCCGTATGGAACGTCGATTATTGTCAGATTCTTAAAGAAGTTCCAGTGGAAGATGTGTAATTAAATTATATATAAATTTAATATTTTTCTGAGGCTAAACAATTTATTTTTTCCTTTCCAAGGTACATAATTAGAGGTTCTATTTAATAAATCGCATTCAAACTTATAAACGATTTAATAAAGACATTCTTTTAATAATTTTATTCTATATAAACGGTCCTTAAAACATCTATCGGTTATAAAGTTCTAGTATCATTTTCAATCAAATCTTTTCCGCTTGGGGTCCCATCTATGATTTTACATATAAAAAACCCAAAGTATTTTTTTTAACATACAGTTTTTGTAAGGTTATTCAGAAAAAATTAAGACGATTTCCCACTTCTCCATTATTTTAGATGATAATGTCATTTTAGTAATTAATCATAAAAATTTTATTGCAAAGATTTTTACAATTTACTTACATTGTCTAGAAAGAATAATTTATAATTTTTTAAGTATATCATTTGTTGGAAACATATGATGGCAAGTAAGATTAAGAAACTATTTTATTAAATTAAAATGAAGAATTACATTGTTTTTTATATGTAAATTTCAACTTTATTTAATATTATTTTAGAATATAAATTTGAATATTATATAAAATAAGTTAGTAAAAATCGCGATATATTTTATAAAAGGTCATACTATCATTATAATTATTTTAATTAATATGAAAATATTATTTTTTAACATCTATAACATTCTTCTCTCTGATAAATCTATTATATTTGTTTTTCGCGATCATCGAATTAGTTATAGCGAATTAATTTATTCGTCTATTGCATACAAATTTCGTTGTGATTTATTATCGCGAACTAGTCGTCTAGTTAATTTGTTGTTTATCGAATTTTTTTTTTGTCAATAAGCGGCATCAATATCTTTAAGTATTAACTATCGTCGTCTTCTTGGTTATCCGTATCGATACCATAAACACCATTAACGTGTTAACTTGATATAGATATCATAATTTACTTTATTTCTATCATCGAGTTTATATTATTTAATTTCAATATTTTATGAATATTTCAATTTTTTCTAAAATTTTTACTTTATATATATCATATTTTATTTTAAATATATTTCAATTTACGAATATCGATTTAAATCTTTAATTTATTTTAAAAATTAAATTACTTTAAATTTTATATTTATCCACCCATAAACTTCCCCTCCTTGAAAATCGTGTTCGAACATTTAGAATTAGACTAAACTTGAGGTGGAACAGTTGGGTTTAAACTAGCACGATGCTTGTTGTTATTATTTATAGTTCGGCATGTTTTGAAAATATCACCATTAATCTGTTTTATACTATAAATTTTCTGCATTTTTGTCATCAACATTGGTTTTTAAGAAATAATCATCCAAGAAATTTTTATCTTTGAATACTTCAATATCTAGTACAAGAATTAAAAAGTTTTCATCTCTAGTTTGCCAAGTGTCCATGTTTTAATTAAAGTTTATATTTAATTTAGATTTAATTTTAAGTATTGTTGACATATCAATTAGAAGATACCATTTTTTTTCTCCTCTTCCACCATGTTAGATACAAGATGGCTGACCAAGATTAAGAAAACTATTTTATTAAAATTGAAGAAATAAATTACATTGTGAATATATATAGATATACATAATTTTCACGTTATATAATATTATTTTAGAAAATAAATTTGAATGTTATTAAATAAAATAAGTTAAGTCAAAATTATATATGTATATATATAAACGCAATGTAATTCTTTTTTTAATTTAATAAAATAGTTTTTAATCTTACTTGATATAATGTGTTTCTAACATGATGGCAGCGGAAAAAAAGATGGTATCTTCAGATTGATATATCAATGATACTTAATATGAAAACTTAAATTAAATATAAACTTGAATTAAAACATATATACAATTGGCAAACTATGGATAAAAACTATTTTAATTCTTGGACTAGATATTGAAATATTCAAAGATAAAAATTTATTGAATATTTTCTTAAAAACCAACGTTGATGACCAAAATGCAGACCAACCCCAGGCTAAAAAATGTATAACAAAGATTAAAAATATTTACAAAACGTGCCGAACTATATATAGTAATAACAAATATCGTTCTAGTTTCAACTTAATTTTCCACCTCAATTTGTTCGAACACGATTTTCAAGGAGAGGAAAGAGTGGATAAATGTAAAATTTAAAGTATGAATGTTTGAAATAAATTAAAGATTTATATCGATATTCGTAAATTGAAATATATTTAAATCGATATTTGTAAATTGAAATATATTCAAAATAAAATATGATACATAAAATAAATGTTAGAATAAATTGAAATATTCATAAAATATTGAAATAAAATAATGTAAACTCGATGATAGAGATAAAAGAAATTATGAAATCTATATCAAGTTAACACGTTAATGGTATCAATACCGATAACCAAGACGACGACGATGAAGCTAGTACCAAAAAATATATGCAGCTTTTTGACATACAAATAAGATCGATAAACAACCAATCAGACGACTAATTCACTATAACGAATCACAAAGAATTCGCGATTACAAATGACGAAATTAATCCGCTATAACAAATTCGATGATCGCGAAAAACAGATTTCTCATAGAGAGCAATGTTATAGATGTTAAGGAATAATATTTTAATATTAATTTTAAAATAATTTATAATATTCGAATGACCTTTTATAAAATATATCGCGATTTTTACTAACTTATTTTATATAATATTCAAATTTATATTCTAAAATAATATTATATAAAGTGGAAATTATATATATATAAATATAATGTAATTCTTTTTTTAATTTAATAAAATAGTTTAATCTAAATTGCCATCATGTGTTTCCAACATTGTGAAAGGTAAATTTTAATTTCGAAAAGACACAGAATTCTAGCATAGATGAAAATCGGCCTTATTTGATCTAACCTATTAAAATATTAATTGTTTGCCGTGTTCTCCCTTGCTGAATTCATAACAAATATATCATATGTTGATGCGCCTCCATTTAGTAATCACTTTAACCAGTTGAAGGCTTACATATAATTAGAACAATAAAATCTTTTGATAAGTCCACAATAATTGGGCCAAAACCATTTATATACCCTAAAATCAAATAATTTTTATCATATTCAGAGTGGAGCTAGGAATTCCTTTTGCAATGCATTAAAAACTTAACTCACTTGCAAATTTGTACTTATAGAAAACTGATTTCACCTTCTTTTCTTTTTTACAATTTATTATCCACCTGATAAAATATTATTTCCTTCAATCCTTTATATTCCAAAAAAATCCAAATTACAATATTTTAAAAAATCCTTAGTACGATTTATCAAATAAAAAAACCACTAGTCTTATTTAATTTAACATGATTTTCTCATTTGAAAAATAATATGTACATATTAGAAACCAGCTAGAAAAAGAATTTTTGGAGCATTTGCAATTTAACATAAATGTGCCTTCTAGCGTTTACGCCAAATATTATTTCGAACTTAGACTTCTCGCCGAAAATAATGAAATGTTATCAAAATCGAAACCACTGGACATGAAGAGAGCTAAAAAATTAGATGTATATTTAAATATTTTAAACCCTTTCATGAAATTAGACTGATTTTTTATGACCATAAAGTTTTGATGAATATTTTTTATTAATATGGATCTAAATTAGTTAGATTTTTATTATACTTTTAATATTTTCTGACTGGATCAAATTGATCATTCTAAATTGGGCCTTCCAATATTTCAAAATGACGGATTTTTTTTATTATAGAATATTAATATTGGATCAGATTTTATTTTTTAATAATCTATTTGCTTTATAATATATATTTTATTGATATTTTCGGGGGTTATTTTAATACTTACCGACACTCCCATGTTATACCACCTCTATTTCTCGATAAATGTTATATCATGCTAGTTAATTGATCACTATATTAAATTTTTAGTTCAATTATTTACTGTCTCGGTAAATATTTGATTCAATATGTTCATTGTGAAGCCTTTTATTTAATAATCTATGTTTTCTGAAATATTTTTAAAAATTTACTTGTATGATTCAATATTTCTTTAAGCAAGGTAAAGTTTTAAAAAATACTTAATTACTATATTAAAATATAGGCCTTATCGCGTTTTGATAATGATGCTTTTTACAAGAACACTGTGGCCAATCTGATTAAAAGAAAATGCTTAAGCGCAGAATGTTTGCCTCAGCCAGGGAGGCTTTCCAGAGTCGTATTATCCTAAAATAAAAACAAATTTCGTATTACTCCTCAAATTTTAAATTTCGGCATCAATCATAATGATTTATATAATATTTTCGACGATTTATATTTATTAATTTTTTGATAAGAATTATAAGACCCAATATTTTTTTTATGTTTTAAAACAATTTTATACACATATAATGTTTATTAGAAAATAATATTTATTAATTATATAAAAATAAATTATTAAATATTATCACAATGACTAATTTATAAATTAAGAATTATTTTTCCATCATTTTTTCTCGGGATATAATGTTTTCGTCAAAAACTATCATAAAAGTGACTCCTTTGTGCCAATGAACAGTTATTTTTGATGGCTTGAAAATATGTGAATATTGTAAATATTTATATGGTATAATTTGACAATTTCTTAGGTCAGTGTGCAACACTAGTACTCGAAGGTAATGGTGTACTTAATCTTTTAAAAAATATAACAATCCTGGAAGTGATTTAAAAAATAAAATGCTGTCTTTTATTTAAATAAAACAAGAATTCGAATATTATCTATGTTGAACAAATCTGTATATAATAAAAAATTCTATCGATTTAAAAAAAAGCAATTCAGTAGAAAGCCCCTATAATGCCTTTTTTTAATCAAAGTAGTTTACTAATATTAAAAAAAATTTTTAAAACATATATTAAAGATAATTTTATAAACACCATTACCTTCATAATTTTTCTATTTAGGTCATTCCACGTCAAATCGATTACGATTCTACCCTTTGAATTTAGGCAGACCTGCAGAGGTATTATTTGCATGACCAGATTAAACAAAAATTTTCAGGCCTGGCTTGGTATATATATAAATTAAAATAAGGCCCGAATTGGTCTGAGGTGTAATTTTGTATACTAACTAAAGCAGTGTTAAAATTTTAGCATTCTAGCTCTTATATTTTTGGAGATATTAAAAGTCAAAGAAATGACCTATTTATATGCTTATCGATCATCTAAAATTGATTTAAAATAACTGAAACATGAGTTTTTTAAAATTTATTTTACAATATTTAACATTCATCATAAAAATAATTAATAAATTATTATAATAGAATGTAAGATAAAAAAATGATTCTACTTGATTTTTTAAATTTTATAAGCGAATTATCATTTCCTTCAAAATGTATGTTAAAATTAAACTATCGATTTTATGTATACCTTTGACAGTGCATTGCAACTTGCATTTAATAAAACTATTTTACTTTGTTTGTTCATTTATTTTGACTTATGCTGATATTGCAAAAGCGTTATGTGTAAGATCACAGCTGATGATTCTTCATAGCGTGTAATTTTTGAAATACATCGCAACATGGTTTTCAAATTTTATCATAGCGTTACATCACAGCGCTCCATATTTATAAATTATAGCTATTTATTGGCTTGGTAAATAACTCACCGTTTGAACATAACGCGTTTACTATAAATGATGCCTTAGTCTTACTTTTAATTATAATAATGATTCCACGAAAAATGTCTTTACATTAAAAATAAATATGTTCAAATAGTTTAGATGATTTTTATATTTAATTTTAAATAATTTTTTAAATAAATATAAGTTTAATATTAAAAAAATTGAACCCTGAACCCTAAATTTAAGAAAAGGGATCGGGATTGGGTTCAGTAAAATATCGAGGGTTCTAAGTAGGTGGTGTATCGATATTACTTTTTGGAGGCCATTTCGATCCGATTTTACCGATGTTAAATTGATATCAACGATTACCGACCAGATATATCTGATTTTGTATTCTGTAAACATACTAATCGTTTTAATTTTTAATGCATACATCTAGTGTTGCAAAATCGTTTCACCTGAGCCGATTTTTAAAATGGCTAAATCATAATTTTGCCCAGAAAAATATTACGCAGCCTGGATTTTGATCAAAGATAACACAAAGGTTTGGACATCTATTAGCAAAATCTCTAGGCTTAGGCAATATTTATTTGGATAAAATATTGAGTTATACGTTTTTAAAATGAGGCTCAAATGGAACGATTTTGCAATGGCTTTACTATTATATCTACTAATTTCATATACTTCTTAATATTATAACATTTATAATTTAACTATAACATAACATAAGTCATTAATAATATTATAATGATCAGTTATAGTTTATATTTATGAATCTAATATATAAAATATTTTTATTGATAAATTAATTATTTATATGGTACTATTGGGCAATCCCATATTAAATCGATAACTTTTTGGCACCTTTTTTAATTTCAATAAAATTTTGCATATTGAGAGAGAATCATTAGAGAGCATCGAATCCAAAATTTTAGCCTCCTAGTACTCATAAGTTTCTGACATATTAATGGTCAAATTTGTCAAAATGGACCCCTTTTCGAAAAATACGATTTTTTAAAACTGAGATAAAGTAAAAAATAATAATGCTAAAAAAAATTATATTTTTGTAACTCTATTAAAGACCTTTTATTAAATATTAAGGATATTTTTAAAATAATATTGTTACGGTTTTTATTTATTATAAATTTAAAACATGAAAACTCTAGGTTTCGCTTTCCGAATTTGAATTTAATTTTTTCTTATTCAACTAACTTTATATCTATTCATAAAGAAAATTTAAACTTGGGACAGCCATGGGGTTTTTTAATTGCGTTATTATTACCATATTGATAATTTGTAAAAATTAATTGTTTTTATAATAAATGATTAAATTTCCTAAAAAGATAGTTACGATTCCGATATCTCCTACTAGAAAATAATAATTAATTTTTATTTTACAAATATTTCGATACTAATTTTTTTTTCTTATATAATGTATAAATATAAATGTGCAAATCCTTTTAAAGAATCAAAACACTTTAATTATAAAAAGAACCTGCGTAAAGTCATGACGTGGATGACACAATTTCCAAACATTGAGGCGGAGCACTATATTTGTGATAAATGTCGTAAACGTTTATCACAAAAAATATTGAAAATATAAATTCTGATAGCGAATATGAAAATAATATCACCACAGTATCCACATCAATAGATACAATCAATATAACTTTAAAAAAAATTGGAATATCTCCTATTAAGAAAAAAACTAACTGAAAAAAATTATCCAAAAAAAGGATAGTGAAAATATCAAAAGCTATTTCAGATAGTGTTGTCGTGAACGAAGTTCGTTTATTTGAAAAAAATGATGAACGGCATTCCTTTTATTTTTGACGAACTTTGAACGTGAACGCGTTCCTTTTTTATGACGAACGCGTTCGAATTTAATGTTCGTTCAATTTTAAAAATATTTTTTTTATTTATATGAAAAATTTAATATTTCCGAATTTTTTTAAAAAATGTATTATTTATATTTTTTAATCGGCTGTGTATTTCTTTTCACATTTCAATTTTTTTAACAGATAGTTTATTAATTTGAATATTATTGTTTATATTTTAATTTAATAGATTAGCACAAGCATGGATATTATTTAATTCTCATAATCTGATTCTGAAAATCCAAAATCAGATGAATTATAAATACTATGGCCAAATATGATAAATGTTTTACTTTAACATCCTATAAAGGAACTAATCCAATGCTTACCAAGTGTAAAATGTGGCCAAAAAGTATTATATTGTCAAAATCTTCAGGTTTAATTTAAAACGACATTTGATTTTAATATTAATTATTTGATTTTATATGATATGATATAACTAAGTTAAACAATTTGAAGAAATAATGCATTTGGGATATTTGACCCCAACAATAACGATAGTTATTTTAAAATTAAAAAAATTAGTGGCCTCAAATATGGTCAACCATCGATAGACGCCGTGTTAAATGGGATTAATAAAAGGTATTAAACCTATCACTCTCAATTAATTACATATATTTTGTTTTAAAGAGATGTGAACATATATATAAGGATCAATATGTTCTTTCTGCAATTATACATCCAGCATCCAAACTTCAATGGCCATAGATAAAACTTCCACAGAAAGAACCTATTAAAATAAACTTATAGCGTTATTGAAAAAAATGCTTTGAAAACCCTAGAGAACTGTTAATTTCGAGATATACTTTTTTTTTGTCGAGAGTAGAGAATGGATGAGGAGGATAACTTATCTCAATTTTTTGCAAATAACAAAACAATATGTTTTTAATTAATTCTCCGCGTTAAAAGAGCTGTTTATTAAGTATAATACCGCAATCCCCTCATCTGCCCCTGTAGAGCGTTTTTAGGCTAATGCCGTATTAACTGCCAAGTGTTCTTGTCTATCAGATAAATATTTTGAAAACAATTGTTATTAAAATTTAATAAGAAAAATTTTTTATAAATAAAAATATCTTTTTATTCGCTATATTATATTTTATTTATAATTATATTATCAAAATAAAACTATATTATTTTTTAACATGGCTAAAATATATTGTATTAAAAAATATAAGTTTATTTATATTAAATTTAATTTAAAAAAAATTTATCATAAAATTTTGAACGGTTTTATGAACGTGAACGCGTTCCTTTTTTTTGAACATGAACTTGAACGCGTTCGATTTTTGATGAACGTTGAACGCGTTCGATTTTTTTAGAAATGTTTACAGCACTAATTTCAGAAATAATTAACAATCCGAATCGGATACAAAAGGCAATCCAGGAAAAAAAGAATGCATATCTATCATTGAAAAAGTGGAACAAGTGAATTTTTAGATAAATTAGGATAATTATAATTTCATATTATTGTGTTTATCATTATTGTGTTTTGTATCCGATTCTGGATTGTTAATTATTATATGTGAAATAGCTTTTGATATTTTTAGTATCTTTTTTTGGATAATTTTTGTCAGTTAGTTTTTTTTCTTAATAGGAGATATTTCAATTTCGTTTAAGTTATATTGATTGTATCTATTGATGTGGATACTGTGGTGATATTATTTATATATTCGCTATCAGAATTTATATTTTCAATATTTTTTGTGATAAACCTTTACGAAATTTATCACAAGTATAGTGCTCCGCCTCAATGTTTGAAAATTGTGTCATCCACGTCATGAATTTACGCAGGTTCTTTTTGTAATTAAAGTGTTTTGATTCTTTAAAAGGATTTGCGCATTTATATTTATACATTATAAATAATTTAAAGAAAAAAAAAATTTATTATCGAAATATGTAAAATAAAAATTAATATCAGGGCAGGTGCATGAAAACTGGCTTTTATCTTTCAACAATTATTATATTTTCTTTTAGGATATATCAGATTCGTAACTATCTCTTTAGGAAATTTATTCATTTATTATAAAAACAACTAATTTTTACAAGATATCAATATAGTAATAATAATAAGTAAGCCTATCAAACGACCTAAATAATATTTTTTCATGATATTATCTTATTATTTATGTTTGAAAATGGAAAAAAGTTCAAAAAAATAATTTTAACAAAACGCGTTATTTTATAAAAGATCGCCATCTATTTTTAAAATATATTTATTTAAATCGCAATAACTAAAAAAACCCATGGCTGTCCCAAGTTAAAATTTTTTTTCATGAATAAATATAATGTTAGTGAATAAGAAAATATTAAATTCAAATTTGAAAAGCGAAACCTGGAGTTTTCATGTTTTAAATTTATAACGTTATTAAAAATCTCGACAATATTATTTAAAAAAAATCTTTAATATTTAATAAAAGACCTTTAATAGAGTTATAAATGACATATAATTTTTATTTCTAGCATCATTATTTTTTACTTATTTCAATTTTAAAAAATCGTATTTTTTGAAAAAAGGGGCATTTTTGGTACTTTTGTCTAGTGTTATTAAACGGCTCGTTTTGAGCGGATTTTTAAAAACGGCTAACTCGATATTTAAGCCAAAAAAATAATTGCCTTAGCCTAGATTTTGATAATATATGTCTTGACCTTTGTTCCTTCTATGAACAAAATCTTCAGGCTTGAGTAATATTTTTTTGGATGAAATACTGAGTTAGCCGTTTTTAAAAATCGACTCAAAACAAGCAGTTAACAACATTACTTTTGACCATTAATATCTCAGAAAACTAGGAGGCTAAAATTTTAGATTCGATGCTTTCTAATGATATCCTCTCAGTATGCAAAATTTGATCGAAATTAAAAAGGTCGGGCCGAAAAGTTATTGATTTGGTATGGAATTACCCTATTAATCCATTCCATAATAAGTAATAAACAAATATATTATGAAATTTGAAATTAATTTTTTGAAAATTAAGACGCCATTTTATCAGATCAGATCGTAAAATTTTATAATATGGACCGATAACCGATATTTTTAAAAAGATGAAATATCGCTCTGATCCGATCTAATAAAAAATATTGGAACATCCCTTGTTCTAAGGGTTCTAGTTTAGGGTTCACAACCCTGGTTCAAACCTTTTTAGAGGTTTGAACCAAACCGATATTATTTTTTATGAATCGAATCTGAACCGTTATTTTTATTAGAACCTAACCGATATTAGATTCGGTATGGATCACTTTTTTTAGATGATAAACACCATTGTTTATTTTATTTAAAAATGTGTCTAAAATGTGGGTTAAATTTTGTACTAACATACAAAATCGATTTTAAAAAGGTGAGATAAATTATAACCTAGTAGTGTTGTTAAACGGCTCGATTTGAGCCGATTTTTAAAAACGGCTAACTCAACATTATAGCCAGGAAAATATTGCCTAAGTATCGAGATCTTGCCAATAGATTTTCGATCCTATGTGCCATCTATGAGCAAAATCTTTAAGCTTGCATAATATTTTTCTGAATAAAATATTGAGTTAGCCGTTTTTAAAAATCGGCTCAAATTGAGCCGTTTAACAACACTATAACTTAGCATGAATGAATGGGTGGGTCATTACTTGACAAATCAACCACGATTCGGTCGACCCTCTTGGATTTATTAAAATTTGGTAAGTAAATAAAGGTTAATGTAGCTAAGAAAAAGGCAAAATTTTAGCCTTCTAATATTTAAATTTTTGGAGATATTTCAAAGTGGCAAAAATGATGTATTTTACCATTATCATTATCTGCCTTCATTCAATTAAGGATATCTTAAAAAAACTACATAATGGTAAATAACAAATTTAATATCAAAATTACGTACAAAGATTATTCTTGTTTATAAATTTTTTTTGATTTTTCCAATTTCCGGCCATTTTATTTAATAAAACTAAAAACAATTTTTTTGGAAATAATACGAACCTTCATTTTTATAAAAAATTTAGTAGACATTATTAAACTCTTCCTTTATATTTATAAAAAAATCAGTCTGGAACGTGACCACATTTAGAAAAGTGTATTAATTGTATAAAATTATATATTAATCAGCTTTTAATAGTTTTTCTTAAACCATTTTTTATATAATTTAAAAGATTATTCATCTTATAAGTGAAAAGAACAATAAATGAGAGTTTCAATCAATTGTAGGAATTGCTTATTGATAAAAGATATTCAATTTATAATTTATTATAAAATTATTTGCCCATATAACATATATTTAATGAATATTAATAAAATATGTTTAACCAAGTTTAGATTTCTTGAATATATGAATCAGAATCTTGTGCATTTCACATATGACGCCCTAAATATTAAAAAAAATTGATATAATATAAATTTAAAAATCGAATATATAACTAACTTTTAAAAGATTCTAATTTTTTGGTAGCATATTTACTTTCTTGTGACAACTATGGCTAATAGCAGTTAACGGTGAAAGTAATGTTAAGATATGACATTTTGGCAAGTGCAAACTTTTATATAATTCTTCCTGCTTTTCATTTTTTAAAACAAAGGCTAACCACCAATTAGAATCATGAACACACGTAATGTATCCTGATTTCCAAGATTATATTTCATTATATGATAAATATTCAAGTGTTTCTAATAAATCCGAATACATTCTACTTCTAAATAGACGTGGAGCTGTCGGAATCACTGTGTAAATTTTCTGTGTTCCAGGTATCGGTCTAGTTTTTGAAAATCTTTCTCTGAGTAATATCATAATTTTTTTGGGTCATATATTCAAAATATATGCTATTAATATTATCTTTAACGTCGTAAAATTCATGATGCTGTTATTTGCTCTGAGTAAGGTCTTTGTACACTTTCTAGCGGCTAATCTTTTAACAATGCCGCCAATCCCATCACAAGCATTTTTCCCGTGTGTTCTATAGATAAATATTATTCATTAATAAAATTTTTTAAATGGACCCATCAGAATAATAATAAATTTTATTTGGCATATAAAATTTATTAATTAAAAAATTTACCAATGTTTTTTGGAAATAATGTACTGCTATTGTGTTATGTTGCAAAGATTGGTATTATTACGTAATTTAGGCAGGAAATATTGGCAAAATTATCTTTATAATAAATAATAAAAGGATGAACAGTGAATTGAGCCCTATTTTAATGATAACTTTGTACTTCATCATGAAGTAAAAAGAATAATTTTGTAAAAAATCACATAAAATTAAATATTAGCCTTCAACTAAGTTCAATTTTATTTTGATATAATGATTGTTGCGTTGAAATAAAAGAATGGGGTAATAAAGATTCCATTTTTTCAAAAAAGGCATTGATAAATTCATCTACTGACTTGGTGATTGTTTCAAGAGTAATTCTATCTATAGATAGCCATTGTCTGTATGTTAAAAATTGATATCCTTAGAAAGAAATAATATTTCTATTTGTTTGTGTAAATGTTTTTACCCTGGACAATTTAACATCTGCCCATATAACAGTAGGTTGAGGTGTATTACAATATTAAGGGTAAAATATGTTTGCATGTTTTAAAGGGCAACATATCATCTTTGGTCAAATTAGATAAATTTGTCTTATGATCATTAATTTAAAATTTTGGTGGTCATTTATTGTTATTTATAAGTAGGGCTATATGATATTAAGTAAAAATAGGCTTTAGAAATTTGATCAAATATTTTTATTGTTTTGGGTTATTTTATGATGATGATATTTATTTTGTACATAATTTCATAATAACAATAAATTATTATTTGTAATGTTTTAAAAATATCAAATTATTTTAAAAGAGTAGCAAAAAATTTGATATTATTTTTGGCGCCATATATGAAATACACAAGAATTTATATATTCAAGAACTCTAAACTTAGTTGAACATATTTTATTAATATTTATTATATATATGTTATATGGGCAAAAATAATTTTATAATAAATTATATATAATATTTCTATAATTGATGGAAACTCCAATTTATTGTTATTTTTACTTACAAGATAAATAATCTTTTAAATTATATCATATAGCAAAAAAAACTATTGAAAACTGATTAATATATGATTTTATAAAAAATATATACACTTTTCTAAATATTTTTATCAATTTTGAGAAAGCAGGTCATGTCTGACCGATTGGAAGAATTTAATAATGATAAAAAATGAAGGTCATATTAAAATTGTTTTTAGTTCTATTAAATAAAATGCCCAGAAATTGTAACAATCAAAAAAAATTCCATTAACTATAATCTTAGCATGTAATTTTGATATTAAATTTGTTATTTACCATTATGTAGTTTTAAGATATACTTAATTGAATGAAGGCAGATAATGTTAAAATTGTCATTTTTACGACCTTGAACTCGAATATCTCCAAAAATATAAATGTTACAAGGCTAAAATTTTGGCTATTTCTTAATTACAATAACCATTTTCTTGCCTACCAAATTTTAAAAAAATGAAAGGCGTCAGCTATTCCTTAATTACAATAACCATTTTTTTGCCTACCAAATTTTAAAAAAATCAAAAGGGGTCAACCAAAGATCTCACTTTTTTTGCTCATTTATAAATTGTATATAATTAAAATATTGCTGATTTGGGTTTCAAGTCTCCCTAATTAACTTTTAAAATTTCTGGTCACTTAGAAACATTAGATCAATGTTTAAAATTGTATAAGAATTAATAATAAAAACTTACAAAATTGCAGCCATATAAAAATGCCTGTATTATTCCAGCTATAAAATACGCACAATTTAAATTGCCTTTATCTTTTGGGACAGATATATATTTGTTAACAAAACTTTCCTTTTCAATGATGTAATCTATTTTATAAAAGAACAATATTCAGTCTAATATTTTTTATATAAGGTTAAGTTTTTAAATGGTAAATTTTTGTGGATTTATAATGAAGGAATAAATATCCTCATAATTAAAAAGCTAATTAGAACAATGTTAATGATGCAAATAATTTTTTTAAATAGAGTTTTCTAATGTTTAAGCATAAATTATATGAGATACATGTATTTTCATTATCATTTGCATGCTCCAATTTTTCAGCTTCTTTGTCAAATAATTGCTATTATAAAGTTAGATAAAGAGGTTTGTATAATTTTATAAATTACCTTCCATAAATTATTTTTGATATAAATCAATAAAGGTACCAACTTAATATCCCTTTTGTAATTTTTCTCTCTAATATACATGAGTTCTAAATATCTTTGACCAACTCTATAACCCATATCAGCCAATCTTTAAAAAAAAAAGATTAATATTTTAAATTATGTCAAATATTACAATATTAAAGATATATGTTTTGGTAGAACATACATGCTTTCACTTATTCATCAAACTGAAGAAATTATAGCAAACTCTTTGAGGAAAACAGGGGTATGCCAATATATCAGTTAAGATTTAAGAAGTTTAAAATTTTGTAGATAAGCACAAGCACAATACTAGTTAAAGAAGGGATTTGTAAAAGTTTTAATTATGTATAAGAATTAAATGGATATTTCACAAATAATATGAAGTTTTCAGCCTATAAAATATCTTAAGGTTGTTATTAATTTAAATAACACTAAGTTTAGTGCATAAAGAAAAGAAATGACATAAAAAAAGTAATTTGATTTTTTAATATAAAACTATCCTCTTTGCAAGACCTCATAGGTAGCATTTTAAAAAAAAATGATTTCAATGCAGAAAGGTGTATTTATAGATTCCCTATCACGAAAAAGCTTGAATATTAATTAGAAATGCATTTATTTATCAGCATTTAAAAATATCCACACAAAAAATATATTTTATGAAAACATATTTTAAAGCACAGACATGATAATATAAATAATTTTATAATTAGAAACATATTTTTTTATCACAATCAAATTTTTCTAATATAATAAGATTAAAATATTTTTTTTATCTGCTTAACATATTTAAAAATTCACCTATGAAGTCTTAGTAAGGACGATGTAATAATTATTCTAAATAAACTTTTGCTGCAACTCAATAACAGAATTTGAACGATTTTGACTATATTGCACCATTTCGGAAAATAATAAATAAAAGGTTGATATGGCCATCTACATAATATATTAAATGATATAAATATGTGCTATGATACATCAGATCTAAGTTTAGTTATTGGTTTATCTAATATGGTTATTTTTGAACTATACTTATATGCCATCCCGAAAATAAAGGAAATTTTTTAAAAAAAAATACTTGACACCTGTAAATTTAACATGTCACACATGAAAGAAAAAGTTAAGTTTATAATGGGTAAAATATACTCCGAAAAAAGGTGGGACATAATATCTTGGACACATATATAACTTGTTTTATTGTTGAAAGTGATGATCAAATACTTCTCCATTTTTTAAAACGATAAAAAATAGCACACTACTTTTTTAAAACGGGCGACATGGCAGTATCGCGATACTTTTTTATGAGTAGCTAAGCAATACATTATCAGTTATTTAAACATGGAAATTAAAATATAATAATCAAAATAACTATTTTATAATCAAGTTTAAATTTAAATTAATTGAATTCAGTGACGAAGGTCCATAGAAGCAAGAGAAGCATTTCTTCCCTTGTAAATATCTAAATATTCTTAAATAAAATATGCTAAGTTTAAATAATAGTGTTCTTACTACGTTAAAAGAATTAATATTATTTTTATTACATTATTTTACCACCTACAAATTATTTTTATTATTTTAAAAAAATTATTTTTTTACTACGTTGAAAAACGAACTATGAACACATGCGGAAAGGACAATCTAAGCCCTAGCTGGTGGGGGGGGGGGTAGGGTAAGGGGTAAATGAATTAACGAAGGAGGTGAAGATGGGAACAGCTCATCGATATTGTGGAAGCCAAAAGCACCTCAAATAATTGCAGCAATATTTGTAGTATTCACGTGACATCCATGATATGGAACTCTGGATGAACGACATAGAAAACTAAATAGGATCCAACGATCATGGAGAAGAATTTAAAAGCTAGGAATACAGAAAAACTGAACAGCTAAAAGACGAAATCGACCCTCGCACTGTCAAAATCAAACTTTCTACGGTACCCGTCTCAGTTCAAGGCTTGTTAGATGCCATTTCTTCTCAAGAATATGTGATTTGCTCTATGTCTTCCCCTTTCCGGGAGGGTCAATGGATAGAGGACCTATACAAATGGTTAACTGAATCCATTGCAAGCAAACATAAAACCAAGCTGAAAGAGGAATGGCATTTGACCCTTTTAAAGAGCCCATGAGCAATCAGATGGACGACAATGTCATGATGAAGCATACTCTTTTGGTTAGGATTTGAAAAAGATAAGGATACGTTAGAATAGATTACGACTAAACAAGCAAGTTAAAAATATAAATAAAAACGATATCCTCTAAATTATATATTCATTTAAAAGAACGAAGGGAAAACACCAAAAAACAAAAACAAGTGGAAAAACCGGAGATTGACAGAGTTAGGTGGTCAAAGTACGAATTAAACCTTAATATTTGGGTATTATGTGAAGTTTAAAAATGAGGATATGTTGAGAAGTCAGCAATCAGATTCATCACCTAAGGTGGATGATATTTGTATTTTGATATATATATTGTGTTAATACTTCATAATTTCGAAAATTAAGTAAATTGATGTAAATTCTTTGGATTTTAGTTTTTTTAAAAAATTCTTTTTAATACTAGATGATTGATTTGATTTTATATTTATTTTAAACGTCTCAATCAATATACACTGTAAATTAATATATATGTTAGCGTCATTATATTTTTTCCGTCTATGTGTATTTTCTAAACTTAAAATTATTGAACTCGTTTTTTAAATTTTAAAAATCTGATTTCAAGGGAAACATGTTCCAGTATTTTTAAAATACCTTTCTCATTAATTGGAGATTTGCCGCCTAATCTTTAAATCATTTAATTTACATAAAAAATCTATAAAAAACCTAATATAAATTTTATTAAGTTCAAAGGTTTATTGCAAAATTGTCTGAAATTCATATGATAGGTGTTAAAATATGATGGAATACATTTCCGGTAAAATCAGATTTAATTTAAAAAACAGTCTCCACAAATGATTTAAATCTGAAACATTAACACATTGCCGGAGGAACACATTGAAGCTAACAAATATATAGAGAGAGCATAAATATAATCAAATAAAAGACAATTCTGTTCCTCTTCAAAATTTTAATTTATGATAAAAATATAAAATAAATTTCTAAAGTCTTATTACTATTGAAGCCATTTCTAAAGTCTAATTTGCATAGACCTTATAAAACTAAAATTTATATGTGTGCAACGTGAAAGGTCATTTCGCAATCACCTTTGACTCTGGAAATTAATCGAATATAGCTATATCTCATTTTTTGGGGATCCGATACGGAAAGAGTTAGAGTTGGGGAAAATTCATCAATAAGGATATTATCAAAATTGAACACTTTTTCTTAATAGAAATCGATAAATTTTTAAAAACTCATTAGATCTAACCGTAAAAGCGTTAGGAGAAATTGTAATTGAAATTATTTATGTGAGATGTTAAGAACTTTAAAATAAATTGTCGGGCAGCTATAGGGATTCGAAAGCAATTATAGTTGGCTAAAAAATCTATGTTATAGTTTTAGGCGGAAAAGTAAAATTTATATTTAGGTAAACTAAATATAAAAGATGCAATGTATATAAAAGACTGATATTATTGAGTTAGATTAAAATATTTGAATGTAAATTATTGGCTAAAAGAATCAATATTGCGGCTTAATAACGTAGAGATCTTTATCAAGTAAAATTGAAAGATAATAAAAGGTATATGATGAATTTGTAATGAAATATGAAAAAAATAATATATATAATGTATATAAAGATTTTTGTTTAATTAATGTTCCTTTGATGTTCAGAATAAATTTATAAAAAAATCTATAAAATCTGTTAAAAAAAATAAAGGTTAAAATAAAATTGAATACATTGAAGTAAGTTATTTCAATTTTATAATGATTATATGTAAGTTTTTGGAAACAATTATAAAAATAAGTTGTTGTAGAAAATAAAAATTCAATTGGACAATTGTAGCCGCTATTAAAAATTTGATTAAGCTTAATGGAATAAAAGTTGAACTTATTATGTATTTCCTTTATTGAGAGAATTTCGAATTGATATTTTAGAGTTTAATAGGAGTTTATTGATTTCCTTTTCTATATAATTATTTGTTTAAGATTGTTTGAAGGCTTTTAACTTTTTAACAATATGATCAATATAATGTATGATTGTATACATGGATTGCCCTTACAGGCAAATAATTTTGAGCCTAACTTTCTATATCAGATAAGTGTTAAATTATGGTATATTGGTTTGATATTTAGTGTTTGCTGCTATTATGGGATTGAGATTGATAGATATATTTCAGGTTTGGTGAAACTTATCTATTCAGTAAATTCAATATTTTATAAAATAAATTTCGTGAATATTATCAGTTGTTTGTGATTTAAATTTGAAGTGGCAAATTTTGTATAATAAAAAAAATTACATTAAAAATACTGAATTATGTAAATAATTTATAACTTGCAATGCAACTAATTACTTTTGAAATATTGTAAATAGTTACTTTAAATGTAACTAGTAATTGTATTTTTTTTAGGAATGACTAGAATTGTTAGCTCTTTTACATAGTAACTTTTAAAACAACACTAGTAATGTTTCCCTCAAACAATTTATATCGAAAGAGGTAATTAGTTTATCAGAAAAAGTACAAGTGAGATCTTATCATAATATTCATATATAAACATTTTGATTAATAATTTATGTTATAATAACTTATAAGCAACTAAATATTATCGATGCCTCGTATAATCTCTGGGGTAATTGAGAATGGGTCTTATTAGATTTTGTAATATAGTAGATTTAATCTTAAATTGTATCGCAATAATTAGTTAAATGCTCCCACCCCCCTCCAAATATGTAATTTCTGATTTTTTAAAAAATATTCTTTTTTTTACACATAAAATAAAAACATTTTTATTTTATTATTTTCGATAAATAAGAAATCAATAAAAAATAAAGTTTAAGGGAAAGGGAAAATGGTTATAAAATAATTTATAAAAAAAATGATTTTTTAAATAAAAAAAAACATTTTTTTAATTGCTTTTTTCTTTTAACCAATTGTCTTTATGACACTATGAATATTATTTTATTTATGCATTGATTTTTTTTCGTAAGTTTCTCCCGGTAAATAGGATAAATAGAATTTAAAATTTTCAAATCAATAAATCTTTATATAAATTTTTAAAAGTAATCATTTTAAAAGACTATAAATTATTTAATAAAAGATTATGAATTTATTTAATTATTTATTAGATTTCATGTAAAAAAAATTATCATAAAACTATGCATCGTCAACACGATTTTAGTGTTCCAGACATAACTGGATTGGATCTTTCTCATTTGACCGAGGAAGAAAAAATAAAAATATTCGAAGTTATGGAACGGGCTCATGCAATGAAAGCTAAAATTTCATACGAAAATAATAACTACGAAAGTAACGTTGTCGACATATATAATAATAATGGTTCACCAACTGATGCGAATATTTTTTTTAATGAATCTCATGAACATAAAAGTGATCATGAAGATTTTCGAAATGGAAAACTTCCCCATTCAAATTCTTCCTCGGAGGGTCAAGGTAATCCCAAATTCGACCGAAATGATTTGTAAGAGCTTATTCTTAAAGAATTATTTATTTTTTTAAAGAAAATATCAGTTAGAAAGTAATCAAGGGGGTAGAGGGTGGGAGTATTAACACTAACCCTACAAATTAATCTCAACCAAATATTGTTTGATGCAATTTTAAGCAATCTCTTTTTATTTATCAAAATTTACTATAATTGGGAACAGTAGCGTACGCAGGAATTTGGTGTGGGGGGGGGGGGGGTAATTAAAATTTTTCAAAATAAAATTATTGTTATTTAAAAATATCGAGCATAAATTTATTAGGACTAATATCTATTTCTAATATACAAATTTAAATTAATATATGAATAATAAAAAATTAAATATATAAACCGATATAAAAAAATAAATTTGATTTAAAAAATATTAAACAGATATAACCGGCGGCATATAAATACTTTAAATAAATCTGAATTATAAAATATTAAGTGGATATAACCAGGATATGATGACTATAAAATAAATAATTTTTTTGAGCTTTTAAAATTTATATATAAAGTATAAAAAATCTAAATGTTGGAAATATGAATAATTAAATTTTTTATGTAAAAGAAAAATATATAAGACATTAAAAAATGATAGCACAAAAAATATTATAGAAACATTATATTTTTATAATGTAAAATCCAATCTTCGTTGGGAGTGAGCTAATTTTTCAATTATCTCATCCGTGTTTGGCTTCAAATGCCTATGAATATTCAAAAGGGCCAGACCATTCAACCTACTTTCAGAAGTTATACTTCTTAGGTACGTTTTTAATCTTCTTAAAGAAGAGAATGTTCTCTCATTAGTTGCAGTACTAATGGAAAGAGTTGCTAATATATATAATAATTTCAATATATTGGGAAAATAATCTAAAAGATGTTTGAAATGATGCAAAGCATCCATAGCATTTTTTGGGACTATATCAACCATAGTTAATCTTATATACCATAGTTGGCATTCAGCTAATTAAGCATCATGAGATACATTAATGTCTTCATGATAAAAATCTTTCAAATATTTTATTTTTTTTCTATCACCATCTGAAAAAGGTTCAGAGGGTTTTTGCGGAAGTAATATCTGCAGATTGATAATTGCTTCTTGATGATTTAAAAACCATTCATTTACTTGGGTTATAAATGTATCCAAAAGAGGTATAAAGACATTTATTTTATAATATTATTCTATTGACCCTATATTTATATTTGGACGATAAGTTTGCCTTACTGCAAGTCGAGGGAGACATATATTGAACTCGTATAGCTCTGCTTTTGATTCAACATTAACATATAAAATATGAAATTCCTCATCAGCATTAGCTCTAATTTCTTTGAGTTCTAATAAAATTGTCTCTGCTATTCTCATCATCTCAATCAAATCAATATCAGGTTTTTGAAAAGTATTACATAAAATAGTTGTATAATTAAATAATTTATTAATACATTCTAATGCGAAAAAAAATTTGGTATAAGTATTGAATCCAGTAACTTGCTTGCTTCTGAAGAAATATCTCTTTCAGACCATTGTGATATTTCTGTAAGAGCATTAAACTACCCTATAAAATATTAAAATAGAGTGTATTTTAAAGAGATCCAATCTCGATAAAAGCTGTTACTGCTTGATGTCGAAGACTCCATCTTGTTGGACAAGCTTTTTGCAATTTTTTTCTCCTTGTTGGGCAAGGAGTTTCAGATATAATTCTGTTCAAAATATTTTGACGCTTGGGGTATCTAAACATCTCATAGATGCTAGATATTTTACCTGATATAAATATAAAAAATTTAATTTTAATAATTAAAAACCTAACCAATTTGATATCAGTGGTAAAGAACATGAATCCGATATTGCTAAGTTGAGTGAATGGGCAGCACAGTGGACATATATAGCTGTTGGGCATTTTTTTTTAATAAATGCCTGAAGCCCATTAAATTGTCCACTCATTGCACGTGCTCCATCATACCCTTGCCCACGTATCATATTTATATTTAGCTATATTTTTGAAAATAATTATATAATAAGATTAATTATTACTTTTAATTTTTTAAGATTCACAAATATTACATCAGCTAAAGCAGACCCAGTCATGCTTGAAACAGGAATAAATTGGAGAAACATTTCCTTGATAATGTTTTTATGAGTATCTACATATCGCGCACACAACGACATCTGCTCAATGCCAGCAATGTCCGTGGTCTCATCTGCCAAAATTGAGAAGCATGGGGCAGAATTGATTTCAACAATCAATTTTTCTAAAATGATATTGTTGCAAATATCAATTATCTCATTTTGTATCCTAGGGCTGAGATAATTAGCATTTTTATTGGTACTAATGAAGCCCTCCATTAATACAGGATCTCCTAATGCTTTAAATTTTAAAAGTCCACGGAAATTACCTTCGTTATCATTATTATTTAAATTTAAGCTTCCTGAATCCTTGTGGCCACGAAGTGCTAGGCCTTGCAAGCCACAATATAAAATAGCCTCAATAGTTAGTTTTATCTTGCCTCTATTTTCTTTTGCAATTTTAACCCTATTTTTATCAATTATTGATGAAATGGGAATCATATCCCCCTTTTGAATTGATTCTTTTGAGGAAATCATCAGTTCACAGCTTTTGTTTATTAAATTATTTTACTATACTTTTTTGCTTTTTGGCATGATTTTCACCTTCAGCGTTTTTTAAAAAAAGTCTAATATCCATGACTAGAAATTTGAAAATTATAATACCGGGAAATTTAAAAATAATAGATAAATATTACGCCACAAGGAAAACTTGAAAATGAAATTAATTGATAAAGTAAATTAGTAAATGAAAAAGGTAATAATATAAAAAGAAATAGATATGAATAATTATAATAAAATATAAAAATATAAAAAATAATATTTTTGAAAAATATGTCCGGCATCTGCATTTTGGATTGGGGGGGATTTGCCCCCCGCTGCGTACGCCAATGATTGGGAATATGAGTTAATTAGTATTCTAAAATAATTGTTTGACATATTCGAAGGGGGGGGGGGTAGGCTAAATCGTTTCCTTTTTCAAATTTGTTTTAAAAAATATTGTCATTATGCAAATATAAAAATTTTACCCTTACATCTCTCCCTTCCCCAACTCCTTTCCTTAGCAGTTGTAGTAAGATAGTTTCACAAGTCGAATAAAAAGAATAAAATCGTTACATTGTAATGTGAATTCTCCAAATATAATTATGGAAATTTTACTTAATTTAATTTAAATTATTTGTATTTAATTTGAATTTAAGAATATCGCCTATGATGGCGGTACTCTATGATTTAATTTTAACTATATTTCTTTTTCTTATTTTTATTCTTATAACATAAATTATACATCATTAAAATCACCAATAAATGATTTTTTTTTACAATTTTTTTTTCAATGTAGTAATAATCAAAATAGCTCTTTCCAAGTTCACCTGTTTAGAGCAGGCGCGTACGCAGCTGGGGGAGGGGGCAGGCCAAAAAATGCAGATGCCGGATATATATTTTTCAAAAATATTATTTTTATATTAATTTATATTTGTTAATATTTATTCCTATCTCATATTAAATATTTAATTAAATTTATTTATCACATTCATCTATTAAGTTATTTTATCAATTAATTTTGATTTCAAGTTTTCCGGCGTGATATTTACTTATTATTTTCAAATTTTTAGTGGCGTAATATTTATCTACCATTTTCAAATTTCTAGTCAAATAATAATTATTTATGAAACTCCTTGTCCAACAGGGAGAAAGAAACAAGCTTGTCCAAAGAGAAAGAGTCTTCGCCATCAAGCAGTAACAGCTTTTATGGAGTTAGAAGAGCCGATTATTTGCTATTACTGCAATATCACAATGGCCTGAAAGAAATATTTCCTCGGAAGCAAGAAAATTATTGGATTCAATGCTTATTCCAAATTTTTTTCCTCATTAGAATGTATTATTTAATTATACAACTATATGTAGATTAATAAGATGAGAATAGCGGAGAGCATTTTATTAGAACAACTTAAGGAAATTAGGGCTAATGTTGATAAAGAATTTCATATTTTACATGTTTTTGTTGAGTCAAGAGCAGAGCTATACGTGTTTAATATTTGTCTCCCTCGACTTGCAGCAGCTCATCGTTAAAACATTAATATAGAATCAGTAGAAGAGTATTAAAAAACAAATTTCCCCTTTCTTAGATATAATTATAACCCAAATAATGAATGGTTTATAAATCATCATGCAGCACTAACCAATCTGCAGATATTACTTCCACAAAAGCCTTACCAACCTTTTTCAGATTGATAGAAAAAAAAAATTGTTAGATTTTTATCATGAAGATGTTAAAGTATCTTATGATGACTTATTAGCTGAATAACTATGTTTATAAAATTAACTATGGTTGATATAGTCCCAAAAAATGCCATAATAGCTTTGCACTTCCAACACATTTTAGATTATATTCTCAAGTATTAAAAGGGTTTATATATATATTAGCAACTCTTCCCATTAGTAAACTAATGAGAGAACATTCTCTTTTTTAAGAAGAATAACAGAGCCCTGCAGAGGCACCATTTGCAGGGCACGGCCCGTATTTTTTTAAAAATTTTTATTACCCGGTTATGGTTTTTTTAAAAAATTTTCAGGCCCGCCCCAGCTAGACCCGGCCCGGATTTTTCAAAAATAAAAAATATTTTTTTTTGATTTTTATAGATAAATAACGATTTTAAATATAGGCTGTTTTAAAATATACAACCTAGCCTGGATATTTTTTTAAAAAAATTTTCAGGCCCTGCCCGGGTGTTTTTTTGAAAAAAATTCAGGCCCGGCCCGGGTATATTTATAATTTTTTTACCGACTCTACGGTTACATACAACTCCTACAAAAAAGGAGGATCACGCTCTCCGTCCATCGAAATCGTCATCACCCAAGTTCTTCAGAAAATCGGTCTCGCCCACTTTACCAGTCTATCACAAAATATACAATGGATACCTTCGGACGGGAATCCGGC